AATATTTAAATTAGTTTTATGATCTGAAAGATTTAATTGTGACAAACATACAAATAAATAAGAAATCAGGAAGGGGGCAAACACTTTTTCACACCACTGTATATCCTGTACTCCACAATTAAAAATAAGGGTATACATGAGACACTCATCATGATGGGGAACCCATACTAACTGTAAAAAATGAACCAATAAACATCATATGTATGTAACTTTAAAATTCCAAAATTTTATGATTAACTTTAAAATTCTCTCTATTTTAAAAAGCTCCCTCTCTTTCGTATACTGATCCCCTAATATTTTTCATTAGGTTTTGCCACTTTGAACTGTCGAAGGGATTACAAGGATGGAACTATATTTCGAAAAAATAGAAGAGAAAGAACCAGCCATTGTTTGTCCTGTGGTGACACATCATACCACCTATTTAGTCTTGAATATGGCCAGCATAGCAAACCTCTGAAAGCACAATGAACGCAACGCTTAATTCCTTGCACCGGTATTGCTCATGATTGTTAAAACTCAAAAAATGCCCTGATCACGTTGCGTGTTTTTAATCAACTACCCCAACCATTTGCTCCTGAGAGGAAGTTGGACACCATAGGTGTAGAGTTCAAATGGAGATACATTATAATAACCTCACTTAGAATACGGTTTGTCATTTATGCCTTTATTTCACGTGATAACTATTTAACAATTATTAATAAATAATAAGAATAATCTATGCTAATTACTCACTATCTGTCTTATATTTAGTTATTTATAAGTTACTCATTCGTTATATATATATAGGGTACAATTTGGACATTCAAAAAAACCAAATCAGATTCTTCGTCAGCGGTACTTTCATTAACAGGTATACCATGGGTTGGAGAAGCCCTGTATTGCATAGCATTTGGCCAAAAGGGTATTTAAATTGGCTAGAACATTATCTATCGTAGTGATTCTATGCCATTATTGCCTTACACGATTTTGTTTGGGTTACCATTTATGTATGTGATAGTTCAATTTATGCCGGTCCTTGCCTAGCAGTCAATTCCTTCCTGGTGTGGTCCCAACTATGTCACGCACGCTCCCACTCTCATTCATTATAGTGTGTGGCCACTACCAGCTCCACCACCATCATCAAGTTTGCTGACGACACCGTCGTGGTGGGCCTGATCTCTGATAACAACGAGACGGCCTACCTGAAGGAGATTAGGAATCTGGAGAACTGGTGCCAGAGGAACAACCTCCTTCTAAACGTCAGTAAGACAAAGGAGCTGATAGTGGACTTCAGCACTAAGCAGGAGAGGAACTACCAGACCCCTGTCATCAACGAGTGCCCAGTGGAGAGAGTGGACAGCTTCAAATACCTCGGAGTTCACATCACGCAGGACCTGTCATGGTCCTGTCACATCAACACCGTGGTGAAAAAGGCCCGACAGCGTCTCTACCACCTCAGACGCTTGAGAGACTTCCAACTGCCCTCCAAGGTGCTCAGGAACTTTTACTCGTGCACCATAGAGAGCATCCTGACGGGAAACATCTTAACCTGGTTCGGGAACAGCACCATGCAGGACAGACGAGCTCTACAGAGGGTTGTGCGATCAGCTGAGCGCACCATCCGCTCCGAGCTCCCTGACCTGCACTCAATCTACAGCAGGCGGTGCTGGACCAAGGCCAGGAAGATGGTGAAGGACCTCAGCCATCCCAACAACAGACTGTTCTCTCTGTTGAGGTCAGGAAAGCGATTCCGCTCCCTGAAGACCAACACAGCTGCTGTTATTGTGTGTATATATATATTTATTTATATTTCTTCATACATTCTTATATAGTTCTATACTGTGTATTGTGTATTTTGTTGTACAGTTATTTTATTTTCAACTTTAATTTATATATTTTATCTTATTCTTTCCCAGTTAAATTTACCCTTCATTCTAATTTGTGTTGTACAGTTATTTCATTTTTAACTTTAATTTTTATATTTTATTTTATTCCTTCCTAGTTAAATTGACCCTTTTTAATTTTCATATTTATTTCCTATCTTATTCATAGCCTTTTTTTCTGTTTCTGTAGGTCACGAGCAGTTGTGTAAGCATTTCACTGCATATCATACTGTGTATGACTGTGTATGTGACAAATAGAATTTGAATTTGAATTTGAATATTCCACCACATCCCAGAGGCGCTCTATTGGATTGACATCTGGTGACTCTGGAGGTCAATTGAATACAGTGAACACAAAGACATGATCCATAGCCTATGGTTTGTCAAGGAAATATCCCCCACATCATTACACCACCACCAGCAGTCTGAGGTGGATCCCCGTTTTACCGTCCAAATGCTGCAGCAAAAATTAAGACTCATTAGACCAGACAAGATCTTTCCAGTTTTCTTTTAGAAGATCTTCTTATCAGTGGTGGATTGTAGACTCAATATCCTGTTGATAGCTGCCAGCTGACAGGAGTGGCCTAGGTCTTATCCACTGGGACTGTCCGAGCAAATGACCCACCACAACTCACTTTGGAATAGGTGGGTCGATTTGGGAGATGGAATGTGTCCCATTGTGCTGGATGAGGACTAACTTGCATTATTTCAGTTAATGAGTTTTACACAGATATACTCGCTTTTTTTGGTAACTTGTAACTGAAATTGTACTCAACTTGACCTTGGATGTTAGGTACATACTAATGATAGAAAGATGGATATGCGCCCATGCATGTTCACATTTTGGTCTATCTCTAATTAATCTAAACATAGTTTTGCTATGATTTATATACAGTCAGTGTTACAGCTGGATCCATACATGGATAAAATCAAAAACATTGGCTAGTTGTGACTGAACAACTGCTGCTTAGGGGTGGCGTTTATCAAAGTGCAAACAAGAGTGCCGGGTTTTTAGTATTCTTCAACATGAAGTTAATTCTTTACTTACTCATTTCCCACTTGTACACCACAGCTTGGGGACTTTTTTCAGTGAGAGTGATGCATGCATTATTCATCATGATTAACTTGTTCATGGTCATTCATTTATCAGTACAAAAAAAAAGAAAAAGAAAATATATACATACATATGGGCTTGCTCATTAACAGCACACTTTTGAGTTTACTTTACAGAGCAGCTTCTGCACAGCCTTTTTGACATTGTAGCCATTATTGCTCATTATTTCCATGGTGGCTCTCTCTCTCTCGCTTTCGCTTTCCTTCTTGCTCTGGCTCTTCCTTTCTCTATCTCTCCCCCTATCTTTTGTGCTCACTCAGCCGTGTGACAAGAAGATGATTTGTGGCATGCTGTAAATTTTATAACTGTCGAGCCAATCACTTCTGGCTGGGGCTCAAGGGGAAACATCTGCTGGTAGGTGTGAGGCTAGAGTTTGGCTACAGCGATTCACAGTTCAGAGTCAGCGACAGGAGAGCAAGTGTTTGTGAAAGAAGAGAGACCAATTAGGATTGAGAATTTTTGTTGTCGTGAAATACTCCTAACAGACATTGACTACATTTTTACAAATGTAAAAATAGAGAGCAATGGACGATAGTTACTTTAGGACAAAGCAAGGATAAACCAGAGGATAAATCTTTCTTTGACATCTTGTTGAGACCATTTAGAAGTTTCCTCATTTGACATAACAGGAGGAAGCACCCTCGCAGCTCTATGCCTACAGAACTAGCACAAAGGTTAGAGTATCTCTCCACCCACACTTTGGACAGATGTACTTCACTTTAAATGTCCAATTTAGCAATGTTAACAATGAGCCCCACTCCACAGTCTGGATAAATCCATGAGGACATGGGCAACAGTGAGCTCCAATTTAAGTGTTGAGGGTTATTACAGGGCATTACAACAGGGGCCGTATAGACCTTGTTAGTGGGCACTTAACCATCTGTACACAAATCTCCACTAGAACACATTAGAATATTTTTCACACAGCCATGCCTCATCTCCATACTGACCTCTACAAACTAAAGTGTCCTTTCAAGCCCATTCAAGCATAGAGGCAGCATTCATAAAACACTTCCCCTCTTTAAACCGTGACCCCACGAGAGATGTGCTGTCACAAAATATTCAGGGCTGTGCAAAAAAACCTGACTATGGAATATCAAAAGCTCCCATCTGTCCACTTCCCTCCTCTTTATTCTCTCTTTTTTTTGTTACTTAATTTTCTTCCATTTTTATGTCAAGGAAAGGGCATGTCTTGCAAGGCCATTGATTTGGCGACTCAAAACACCAGACAATGAACTGATCACCCCAGAGTCCCTCTGCCTAAAGGGTAATAAACCTTGTCATTGAAATGTGAGCAGAATTCATCAAAGGTATCCTAAAAGCCTAAATGAGATGTGTCAAACACTCACATGGAAACTGCAGCATGCACCGTACAAATGTTTCCTGTATAAGATAGTGTGTGCCTGCGTACAGTAAGGAGAACACTATTAGCACTAAGACAGTATTTGTTTCCATATTTAGCATAATTCTGTGTTGCATGTACTGCAGAAGTACACGTGACTTCCATTATTTGTTATTATTAATCTCTGGCTCTCTTTCACGGTCTGTCTTTTCTGAGCCTAGTTGTGTCGGAAGTTTCTTCCTGTTAAAAAAGAGGTTTTCCTTCCCACTGTTGCCACGTGCTTGCTCAAAGGGGGTTGTTTAATTGTTGGTGTTTTTCTCTATTATTGTAGTGTTTTTACCTTATAAAGTGCCTGAGATGACTGTTGTTATGATTTGGACCTACATAAATAAAACAGAATTGAAAACTGTATTATCCCTGAAAATGACCAAGTCTGAGAAATAGGAACTTAAATAAGCAGCAAAAGAGCTGATGAGCGCATTTCTGTGTGGTTTTACTGTGTCTCCTCGTGTAAATTTCTCCCTGAAATTTTTAATTGTTATTAATAAATATTAATAAAGATCAAGCAACAAGTGAATACGAATTCCACTTTGAGGACAGATTCATAACAAACAGTTACCTTTCAATATTTGCTTTTTCCTCTTGTATTGGATTCTATATACTACACTGGTGCTAGCCTTACCTGGTTCTTTAAATCCAGTTTGGGACATGGTCGTCCTCCATTGAAAGCTTTCTCTCTCAGCCACTTAGACCTGATCTTTAACCCGCTGCCACAGGATGCACTGCAGGGGGACCAAGCTGACCAGTCACTGAGCTTGCAGTCTATGGGGCAAGGGATGTGGCAAACCTCCACAATGTAGCCTGGAATTTAAATTGGCAGACAGAATGGGCAGGGATGATTCAGACTTGGTCTGCAGCTGCAGTGCAGATCACATTAATTATGTCAGACAGTCACGCTACTGGTGAGTGTTACCCCAGACCCTGGACTTACCCACCGTGAGACCGAGGGCTAATAAACTGACTAATGAGCATTTAATTCCTATGCTGTATAAGCTTTTTACAGTGTGTTAAAAAAATTGTTGTTCTCTGCGTTTGGTTTTTAGCTAGACTTACACAGCAAGGCTTCACGACACAAGCAAACGACCATATAGGACAAAGACTTACAGTTGTGTTTTAGTCACTGACATTTTTCTTTCACATTAAAAGTTAAATTGCTCATACTCTCATCAAATTTCATCATCAATTTACTATATACAGTGAAATAAATTAGAGATATAATCTATGTTGCATGTATCTAATACAATGTTGTATGTTTATGAAGGATACTCATTATTTTTAGCTAAAATGTGTAATTTGTAGGCATATCTCAATTAGTCCTACCTGACTCTGTACAGAGTGCAGGGCTAACCAGGTTCTCCTGCTGGTTAATGCAGGCGACAGCCTTGTGGCGCAGACCTTGGCCACACTCCTTCACCTCTCGATGGCTCATCCAGCCCTGTGATGATCCCGAGACCGAAGGATCAGGGAGTATGCAAGCAGACCAGTTCCCACAGGGCTGGGACAAAAACTCATCACAAGGACATGTCTCTGTCTCCTCCAGCGGGTGCAACTCCTTATTCAAGCAGGTTTCCTTTTTTTTGCTACGACCTAAGCAGAAGATGGATAAACAATGCAAAATTACTGAACTGGATGGGCAGAACATGTTTTGTAATAGGACACGAGGACAGCTTTTTTCCACATTAGATAAGAGTCTTGAGAGATGAATGTATAATAAGGTGTATTGTTTAACATAAACAGCAGTTACAGTAATTAAAAAGTGTTCATTAAATGTAACAGAATGTATTTATGTTAATAAATTTACAAAGTCAGCAGGTGAGAAAACTAAATAACCAGTGTAGCTATTAGCTGAGCGTAAATTGCTAATTTGCACCATTATAACTGTGAGGCTACTTACAGGCACATTGCAAGTTCGCTTGCTCTCTTAAATCCACCATCTCTACTCTTAACGGACTTGTATTTGAGCCTTAGCTAATAAGATCACTGTTTCATTTCTTGTGGGAATCATTGCCTCCCTTTCACTGCTGACTCCGCAAGGCAGTGAATTGCTTTAGAAGCTGGCTTAAAGTTTCATTATTCTCACTCACATTTAAGCCCAAATCATAGTTATGTGCAGAAATACAGTATATTCTCTAAAGATGAACTAAGACAATGTAACCAACTGTTAAATCTGCCATCATACAATAATAGAGCATAAGGTGTTAACATGGAGTGACAGTAGCTGTGTTTTATTGTATAGTTATCAAACGCTATTATGTAGTATTTATTGAAATATATTTGTATAATACTACATTTCTTTCCTCTTACGAGTGATTCCACCACAAAATACTGCAGTCAAATGGCAGGCTTTTCCCATTATGTACCACAAACTGCTGCGAGGCTGGATGTAAACCAATTTACTCAGTAGGTCATCTTTTGCGATTCTAGTCTATGTTTGTTGAGTTCCTTTAGAAGAAACACAGCCGAGGCAGTAAAAAAAACCCCGAGGCAGTAAAAAAACAAAAAACAAATAAAATCATAACCAACAAAAAACACTTATTTGTTCCCTTTGTCGTGTGACGCCCAAAAAACCTCATTGTATAATTGGTGCTGTTCGCAAATGTATTATTGCTTAATTTCTCCATTTATTTTAAACCCCTTGGGGAAATGGTGCATGCTTAGTGTCTGTGTTATGACACTACAGCTACAGCGAAGGTTAGACTTGACTAGAATTGCTTTACCATACTACTTAGACAATATTAAAATGGACAATACAAATAAGATTAGTGTTCCATTCAGTTAAAACATAATTTCTATATTTATAACCTGTTGCAGCTCATTTGTATGTAAATGCACCATAGTTGAATATAGCACATTCGTGCACTGTGTGCTACCGTGAGGAGCAGGAAGGATAAAAAGTGCTGCAGCATTGCAGTGTTCTCCCACCGAGCAGGGAACACAGAGAGATCTGTCATTTAAAAAATCTCTTGAATGTGTTCTGGTAATGGGCATTTATTCCCTCTCATTCTTTTACAACCATGATTTCTCACCAGCACTTAGTGGTTGCTGTTTATTATTAATAATGATCAAAAGTGCAGAGTCTTTGATTCAAAGGGTTGACAATAGTGGAGAAATGGGTGGACAAAGCTGCACAGACACATTAGTTATATCATTAATCTGTAATGTTCTGCTCAGCTGTTACATTGCGATTAAGTGCTGTAATTGTGTTTGGAATGCCTACCTTCCTTCAGCCTGTCTCTTCTTGTTTTATATCACATAATCATTTTTATAAATTTGCCCTTTGGCAAGCTTTTTTTAATTGTATTCCAACAATTTATTTATTTATTTTTTCCTTTTTTACAGCATGCTTACTTACAATCCACAGAACACAGCGCATCTTATGGGTTGCCAAGTTCTGGTACGGCTTCTTTTAATAGAGATTGTGGCACCAAAATGAGTCTAAGAAATGAAAGAGGATTTAACTGAAAACATTTTACACTATCATCCGTCCTTATCACTGGGTATTAGTACATGGGTTAAGTGATATACAGTGGATTGAGCATAAGTATTTTCACAGTTATTTAATGTTATTTAATGTTATTTATAACAACAATAGTAATACAGTGGCTGGAAATGCCACTTTCAATATCTGGACTGGCAACAGATACAACCTGTCAAGCTGCCCAGCCCCTCAGAAGTCTACCTTATGATAGATTGTCTGCTGTGTCATATGATAACATAACACCTATAAATATCCTGCTTTCAGTGATGCATCAGTTAAAATAAAGAAATAGATTCAACAGTCCCCTCTGTTATCACCTCTTCGTGTACTCGTCAGTACTAGAGAAAAATTTAATTTGACAAGCCCACTGCCCCCCACCCACACAGCTCAAAGACTATAAAGGGACAATTCAAGCAAATGGAAGACAAAACGGTTACATGTCTTTATATTTCATCTTCTTGCCATTCAAAATAAAAATAAAAATGCAATTTAGGTCATAATGAGTCCCTGACATTGTTTTGTGTGTTGCTTTTTACATTAATATTAATATCATTTTGTGTGTCTCTTAGATTTGGGGTATACTGTGTGTAAAATTAATGTGTTTAGGGGTTGCTGTTTTTACCAGAGAATCTCCAAACTCTGTTTAATAATACATCAGATCTGCAAATGTGAATCCCTTCTGCCAGATTAAATGCACTGTTAAATTGACTATGTTGAAATTGAAAAAACACTATGTTGCAATCACGTTTACCTATATATTATATATTTCTGTAAAGCACGAAACCAGCATTATAAAGTGCTCCACAGAAATACAGAATAAAGGAACAAACTAATAAAAGAACAAATTGGCTGCCACTCAAGCAACTGAGTGTTTGTATTATGTAGAGACAGATACATTACTATAGCAACATTGACAGTGTATTTAGCAAAACAATGTGTGTGCTGTGACAGTATGATGATATCTGAAGACATGTTGCTAAGGTGTGTAATGTCTATCACTGCTTTCCTTTCCAGGTGATTTTAATGCTTTACAGTAAAGCCTCATAGACTTGAAGAGATACAGACATTGACCCAAAATAATTCTGGTTATATATATAAAGATGAACAGGCTCCACTGTACCTTAAAGACTATCTGAAGAGAATAAATCTCTGTCAAAGTGCAAATTTACTTGAAACTGCTAGTTTTTAACATTAGAGCCTGCCCCGAAGAGCTGCCTCTAAGTGTGGATTCAGAAAGCAGAGACCCTCTGTACTTTTTTCTAATAGCCACTTAAGTCTAATAACCTACAAAGTGTACTGAGATTACTTCAGTTTCCTAGTGTAGTATGACATGTTTACCTTATGTGCTGTTGTATTGCACACATAAATGTACTGTAATAGCACCTCTAAGCAAAAAAGGATTCCTCAAAAACTATCAGGAGACTTTTTAGTGATTAACATGATGAGTTTTTTTTCAATATACATTTATACATCAATTTTCTTTCACTCATTCAATTCAGAGTCACGGAAAAAAGAAACCTAATTTAAAAGTCTTGCTTTAAAAGGAAGAAAATTCAATGTAACCTGCTGTACAAAGAACAGATGGCATTGTATTATTTGTAGGTTTATGCAGTACTGCTTTTGAGGTGGTTATTTTCTTGTTGTTTGGTTAAAATAAATCCTGTTAGTCCCACATGAATAGAACCATTCAACACTTTAATGAATTGCATTCCCCCAAGAATAAGCAAATTGCTACGTTATTGTTACAATTAAAGTAAACACCTCGTGCACTGTAAAATGAAAGCACTATAACAGAACTCCTTGACCCGAGCCAAATGGAGAGCTCACAAACACTCACAACCTGGTAAAAGAGTTGCACTGTGGTTGTACTAATCCTGCTATGCTTGTGCACCTCTGTTTATTTTGTGGATCCTGGGTGTCTTTAGCTCCCCGTGTGCCCAGTCAGTGAGCAGTCCATCTGTTTCGTAACATGATTTGATTGCAAACATTCCTTATCGAGTGTGAACCCACTGCCGTCACAGTGCAATTCACCAACAATCTGTTCAATCTATGCCACTGCTGGTGGTTGATTGAAAAGTGCCAGTGCAATATCACTTCACTGGCAACTTGACTTTGCAGGCAAATTACTAGTTAAAGATCTGCAGGCAACACAAAGAGTGCGATATATAGCTTATTTTAATATTATGCATTTTGTATAGAGATCTTTCCTCTAAATCTTCCATATATAATGTGTCATAACCTGATGCTTCTTTAAAGCCATAATATTATGCAGCATTATTGAACAACACTGCCAAGCATTTGGATGAGAATGCATACCTTTGTATGTTCTGACACCCAACTGTTAAAGAATGATGGCTGTTCCATTGTTGAGGCTGAGCCATGCTCCCCTAGTTCATCTGCACCTGTCTTTAAAAAATACATGAATTTGGCTTGTGAGATAAAGTATTTCCTTAATATTTATTGATTGGTTTATGCATATTTGAAAAGGTTGAATTGATTCATGACTTACGTACGTTTGTTTTTTAAATGTCACCATAAACACTGAGAATATATTATATTTTTTCACACAGATTTTGACTAAAATGCTCTGACTCTTTATTCTTGATATTTTTTCAAAGCAAACCTAAGAAATAAAGTGTTTGTACAATACAATAAGTGTGCATTACAATGTTTTTGTACTAAAAAAAATTCAATATGTGTTAAAGCTGCTATATAACTTGACTGATAGACTTTATATTCTTACATATAATATTAACTTCCTCAAGTTGCAACACTTAAAGTGAATTATTCATGTCAGCAGTCCTACAGTGGCTGAGGAACAGTTGTCATGAATGAAAAAGTCTGACTGTTCAGTTTGTTGTCTGGCTCATAATATTAAAACTTTTGTTATGTTACCCCAGAGTGTGTAATAAATCCTACAAATTTTGTCCTTTTGAATTCCAGCCCACTTCATTAAAACATTTTACCAACACACTTCTTTGCAGTTTGAGTGGACTTTTAAAGACTTTTCAAACCCATCACTTAGCAATCAAAACTTTTACCCATTAAACATAAAAAGTCAGGTCAGCTTTGCAAAGAAACTACTTCTTAACATTAAAATCATAAAAAC